CACACACACACACACACACACACACACACACACACACACACNAATAAACTGAATGGAAGAGCCTGGGGAAGAGCGAGGGTCTGTGAAGAGCTGGCCAAACAGCTGCGTCTGCTGATGAGGCCCGTGGGCTGCTGAGAGCTGCCCCTACCTGGTCTAACTCCTTCTTCTGCCTCAGCCTCTCCCCATCGGCCTCGGCAATAATGCGCAGGAGTTTCCTCTCTTCCGCTTCCTGCTTTTCAATGAAGTGTTTCGTCTCCAGGGCCTGTTGCCTCAGCTTCTGCAGCTCCGCCTACAAAAAGTGGAAGATACGGACAAATGTCACTGTGTAACCGCACAGCAGGGCTGCGGGGCCTGGAATTAGATGTGCAGTGAGCTTCTCACACTTCCCTCTGATGGTTTGTTTAACATGGTTTGGTCACTCTCACAAGCAAAACATTCTTCACACACACACACACACACACACACACACACACACAGAGAGAGTCTGTAGAGATAAAGCCATGCACATTACAGTGATCATGTTTATTCTATGAGTTGTGCCCTTGGGGGATTTCCATCATTTTTCTGTACGTGTGTGGCAGGGGCTTCATTGGCATTCAGCAGCTCTTCTCTTACCAGCCAAACACGAGGAGAATTCACAGAGCATAGTGCAGGAGATGTGGAGGTGAGCATGGGGGGCAGTTCTTTGTATGTACCACCTCCTGTAATGGTCCTAATACCACCAGCACATCAACTACAGAGATAAAGCCCATTTTAAGCAAAAATTAAATTAATGAAGATAACAGCCAATTGTCTGTACTATAAAACATCTTGATGAAACAGAAGAGATGTCATGATATGAAAAGATATATAGATCCTACTCCTGAGATGCTACCCATCTAGACGAGAAGACAAGATATACAAATATTATGTAAATATTAACAAGTCCGGGCAATACTATTTCCATATTTTTATTGTCACAAAGACAGTGAGTTGATGTTACAGGAGGTCAGAGAACCGGGGTTGTCAGGGAAACTTCCTGAGAGAGGCCAGGTCGTGAAGCCCTTTAGGTTACACAGAAGTTATAAGAATGATAGAGAAAGGGTGTTGTGGTCAGTTAAGTTTCAGAAGGAAAATAACTCTCATCAAAGAACACATTTACTTCATTTCCACGAGTATATTTGTGACCTGCAATATCCTAGGCATTATATTAGGTATTTTGCATAGCTACTTATCCCCATTTTACAAATGCAATTACAGAGACAACGCAAAGCAAATTAACTCACCCAAGGTCACACAGCTAGTGAGTAGCAGAGTTGAGACTCCAACCTAGATCTTTGGACTCCAAAGCTACCATCACACAATAGTTTCAAGTCAAATACAGAAGATAAGTAAGACATGAGGGATTCCTCATCCATTGGAGATGATAAATATAACCAACTGCACTACAGTGTGGAAATGCTGTGTCCAGTGTGAAAAAGAACATGGGAGAACAAAGGAACAAGTTCCTATTTCTGCCTGATGTTTAAATGGAAGAGCCAGTCAGGGCCTTTGCAGGTGACAGATATTCCCAAAGTGGACAGGTATGTTTTACGGGGAGAGTAATCAACAGTCAGGCTTGTGTAAACAAAAGCACATGCAAACTATAAAGTACCCAGTGCATTCACCAGTCAGCAAAGCATCCCATGTGCCTGGATCAGAGTGTTAGGTAGAGAAGAGCAGGAGGTAAGGCTGGAAAAATAACTGAGCCAGCCTGGAAAGGGCCTTGTAGGCCACATGCTGTAGAGTGTGGGCAATGGGAAGCCACAGAGGTATCCATATTAAAGGAAAGAAGAATATATCTTTGAGAGTGTCCATGCCAAATTGGAAAGACAGGTGGTATTGCAGACCACGTGAGCACAAGAAGAAACAAAGGGGAGAACAGCTCTGCTTTCGCCCATGCTGGGAGTCACAGAGAGATGACAAGACAATAGTAAGGTTCCAACTTTTCAGCGGCTCTCAGATCAGCAAATGACAGTGAAAAAGTAGTATTTTTTTCTTTCAAGAAAGTATTGGGACCCCTACCCTCACCTACCCAGAAATGTCACTGGAATGCTAGAAAACCCCGTATTTGCAAGTGCCTGTGACCCACCCCAGCTCTCGTTGAGGTCTGCCTCTAACCCATGAAGACCAAGAGTCATTAATTCCATACCTCAAACTTATCCAAGCAGTAGAAGATACTATGCACCTAGTAATGTGTAATGTCACAGACTAAATGCAGTCAGCTACTATAAAACCAAGGGCTTATCTTATGACACTTTGTTTGTTCACTCATGAAATACGTTTTGGTCCAGGGATAAGCAAAAGGAAATACTTACTGAGAAAAGACCTGGTCTAGTATTTTACCACTTTGGGGGATTGCCTGTTAGGAAAGCATTTGAAGAACCAGCCTTTCTATTTCTGCAATCATTTAAGGTGACAGCGAAGACAGCAATAAAATACCTGCTTGGCTCATGCTTTCTTTAATAAAACTTTTATTTTCCCAGATGTGCAACATTCACTTCCCTGTTCTTAAGAGCCAAGAGCTGATCAGAATCCATCAGCAGAACAAAATGAAACCCTAGTTATATTTAAATGCAATCAGCGGTGTGTAAAAGTATCTGTCTGGAATGTAAAACCATCCGTGCATTTGGCACTGCTGGGTGTGTGGGTTTTTTTTCATAATATATCAAAATTCTGAATGGTCTCCTTATGTCACAAATTTATGGGCTGTAAACTAGATGTGGTATTAGACGTTGGCAGCAAATGTTAACATCAACACAATACCTTTGGTCTAATGCATTTAGCAGCTATAAATCTGCACTGTATCACCCAGAAAAGTTGGTAACAACTGCTTTGCACCCAAACGCCCATCAAGCAATGTTCTAGGTGGAGCCCAAGGTATCAGCATTTCTCAAAGTGTTTCTGGTGGTATGGAGTTGTAATACAGTGACTGGACACACTTTTTAGTCACTGCCTCCATAATTATACCATTTTGTGGTAGGTATCTATGGAATATTTACCATCTAATTTGGTTGCAGGCATAAATCCTACCTCCAGAACCACAACTGTGGAAGTTTCACCCGCTCATACGTGATCCCAACATTCACTAGGTTTTACAGAAACCATCCGTTTACATCTAACAAAACAAACAGGGCCCCATGAAGCCTTCTAGCCATGAGAACAATTAAGCTTTCTCTCTCTCTCTTTCTGACAGTCCCTGTCTATGTCATTCGAGCGTCCACTAAGTAAAAGGATGTGGTGCCCTGGAGCCAGTCACTAATGTGATGCTGAGCCCTGGACATAGAAAATTTGCTGCTGAATTATTTGCCAAGAATCAAAGTGCTGTCAGATTGATGTGGGATAACTGGGAGGTGACAAGACAGAATCAGGGGCTTGTTAGGACTGGAGAGCAGACACTCCAAATGAGATGGCTCCTTCAGCACTGATGAAACAAGACTGGGACGGAATGAGCAGGTGAACACAGAGGCAGCCACGCCTACAGAGAACGATTGGCATTCTGTCATAACCACCATGTGCCAACAATGGCTAGAGTCCTGAGGAGCCAGGAGAGCCTGGTGGCAACAGAAACTAAAAAAGAAACATGAAAGGAACATAACTGTTTTTCTTTTGACGGGGATAAATGAGAATGGGGATGACCTATTACAGACAATTGTTTGTCTGTTGGCTTGGAAAAGTAGTAAATTGGGTTATCCTATCAACGGGCATCTCCTGGTATACCAAACAGGAGAGAGGGCCCGCCTTTCCAGGAGGGTTATGTACCCACATGGCTTTGTAGAACCAACAATAATAAGCTCAATGTCTTTTGGAGCAAAGTTACTAGAAAATCTGCCCTTTCCCCCCAGGGTTTTGGTTTGAGAACTTCAGATGCATGAGATTCAGAGACCTGTGTGGAGTGTGATTCAAATTTGAGGCTAAAAAAGTCAAGAGGCTCAAACTTTATATTTGAGCTGTCATATTTTTCTACAGAATGTCAAATGGGCTTAATGATAGGCCAGAATTATCCAGTTGAAGCACCACTGCAAGTCACCCTTGGATAACCTCAAATAATAAATTGAGCTGGCACCCTTTTTCTGTTGCTCCTTTTTGCCTTAATGGGAAATGCTGGGGAAAAGGTATTATAGTTTCACAGTAAGTCCAAAGCAATCATCTTACTATACCTGATGACCCAAAGCTATCCAGACCTAGGATTCTCCATTTAGAGCAGACTCTCCGGAGCAGAAGCCTTTTAATTATCTTTCATCTATACCAGCTCTGCTGGACCAGGACCGAAAAACAGGGCCCTGTTGACCTTTATTTTATTTCACTGTGATGCTTCTTTGGAGCGATATGTGCAGATGCCAAGTGATGGAATGCGTGAGGGAAACAAATGTTAACCATAATCAAATTCTAGAGAATTAGGAATAACTGTCCTTTTGCATAGAACAACTGCTTATTCTAAAGCAGGACCTGAAGAAGGTAGTTAGTTCCACCTTGGACATCATTATGGGGTAAAAATTAATCTTTTGAATAGAGCATTACTCGGGAAAGTAAGAGGTGAGGATCAGTGCCATCCTGAAGAAGGAAAGAGGTAGTGTACCAGATCAAGTTATACTGAAGCCTTGCTAATATGCCTCCATGAGGCCCATGGGTAAAGCAATGTTTATAATAAGGCTCTTCTAAATAACTCAGTGATAAATAAACCCATTTCTACTACAGGCTCCAGGGTGGAATAAGCTACCTTCTGTAAAACTATACCTTTGAACAAGGACTATAAGGGCAAAGATGCAGGATATTTTCAAATTTTAGAAAATGTATTCATGTTTCTTTATGTGTAAATCAACTTTCATGCAGAATTTTCTATTCTTTTTCTATCATAAGTTGGAGTTGCAAAATAAAAGTCTCAGATGAGTAAATATAGCAATTGCCATATTTTTTTTGTAATGGTACCTTTGTTAGATTTTAATCTGTCTCAAACCAAGTATGCCTTAATTGGATTTAGTGTAGTAGTTCTATTTCCATGAAGACCTATCATTAGTTGACAAAACCCATTCTGAGAGTGCATATTTCAATCGATGGCATCTTGGAATCAAGGACATATGGCATTAAATCTGTCCAACACAAGATACATATTTTCAAGATGGTTCCAAGGTACTCAGTCCCTTGTTTGTTATAGATAGATCCTGCAAGTGGCTCATAAGCATCCATGAGTATTCTGCATGTATATTTTCAAAATAAAAATGGCATCGCCCTCTTAAAAGTTCCTTTTTTAATTCCTTGGTCAAATGGATTAGGAGGGAAATCTATTGGATTGGGTAAGAAAAGGAAATATGTTAGTTTAGTGAACGTGTATAGTAAAACATATTTGGTTCAAGGATTTGAAATGGCGTAATTATTTGGTATGTATTCTTGAAAATAGTCTTTATATTAGCAGACACAGAATGTCCTAAATTAGTAGATTTAAAATGCTAAGTCTTAGTATATATATGAAGTCAGAGGTGATTCCCTGGAGGAGTCGCTGTGAAGTTCTGAGACCCACAGAGGTAAGGTGAACTATGAGCCTGGTTGAGGGCCAGTCAAGTGAGAACAAAGCTTGCTGCGCAATAGCTAATGCTAGTGCAGGCAGAAAAGGCGTGCGCATGTGAGGCAAACAACTATTAGGAGCAGAGGGCCAAGGGTCTTGCCGGCATTGCCTTATAGAGGCCCGGGGAGGAGTGTGGGAGGGTTGGGAGTGGACACAAGGGCTGGACCTGAATTGTGAATGTAAAGGGACTGTAGAAAGCCTGCAGGCTCCAGGACTCCTTGGGCACTGCTGACCTGCCAGGTTCTCTCCCACTGCAGCGGTGATAGCCAGCCCAGCTGAACGAGGTGCTGGTGCATCCCCCCGGCCTCCCCCCGTCTACCTGAGAGCGCCCCCTGTAAGGCAGCCTGACCTACAGGTGGTAGAGCCCGGCCTCCTGGCGCCTTAGCCGTCCTCCCTGCCCCTCAGCCTTCAGCGAGCGTAGAGCCTGCCTCCGTAGGCTGAATAGATGGACCGACGGTCCACCACGCTTGTTGTAAGACCTGTACCTTCAGCGTTTCCTTCTCTTTCTCTATCCGCTGCTGTTCCAGATGGAGCTTCACCAGCGCTGACTCTTTGGCAGAGATTTCTTCCTTCAGCTGATCTACCTGATGGGTCATGATCTTTAACTTTCTCTTCATTTCCGTTATTTCATCCTAACATAATGAAAGGAGAAATGTTTGAAAGTGAGTTAAAAAGACACCACCGTCCCTATGGAAGTTCAATACACATTCGAGAACTTTTAAGGGAGGCCCTCTCAAAACAGTGGTCTCCTGACTAGTTAAGATGGGGCTGTTCCTTTGTATGTCCTCCCATCAACCTCAGAGTATACTTTATAGCATGAACTCTCAAAATATCCTCACTAGATATATACAAAGTATGCATAATGCATATGCCACACACACACACACACACACACACACACACACACACTTGTTCCTCATTTTACAAGAGAGGAGTTGGAGCCACAGCAAACATTATAACTAAAAGATTACAAAGCAAAGCTCTGCAATTAAATGACAAGAGTATGCTTCTCCCCTCCGAGTCGCAGCAGCTATTAGCAGTTTTAACAATTAGAAACAGGAGCATGGCAATTCTGCACAATAATTAAAAGCAGGACCGAGATCCTCACATCCTGTCAAGTTGCATCATTTCCATTTCAAACGATCTGAGAGCTCTGCATAAAATTCATCTTCTTTTTCAGATGAATTCCACAAGATTATTTTCTTGATCTATACTAAATTCTGCCATCAGGATAACAGAAATTGCTTTAAACCCAGGATGGGGAGGAATCAAGATGTAAGGACAGAGGCATATTCTTTACCTGGGCTTCAACCAGATTTTTGCTGTACAGATTCCTGTCTGACCTCACGGCTTCGTACAGGTTCTGCTGCTGTTTTAATTTAGTCTCTGATTCAGCGATTTTCTTTTTGTAGTCAAAAATCTGCATTTCACGAACTTTTATGTCTTCCATGTTCATGAGGACCTGGAGGAGAAAATACACAAAGGCGGTTGGACAGCCGAGCTGTGGTTATCGCTTTGGGACACACAGAGATTTTTATCTTAGAGTAGCTAGTAGAAATGCCAGCAATCAGCAAATCTGCCTATGCCTATAATCACTGAGGTACGACACAGAAATTCAGCCCAGCTGATTAGGGGCAAACATTTTATCTACTCCGGAGTTCTGCTCAAGCATAAAGGCTTAGCACAGTTATTCTGTGATCACAAGACGGGAGAGAAATAGAGAAATTCTTTCAATTCTGAAAACCTCTCCTGACCACTCCAACTACCAAATAGAAAGGGGAGAAAAAAGACACAGATTTAAATAGATCTTAACACAAAGCACTAAGAAAGACAAGAGATAGCTTAGCTGTTTGGCCACACTGCCCATCTTTGTCGTTAAACACAAGAAAGAAAGTGGCCTTTGAACATTGATAGCAATCATAACACTGTCTTGCCAATGTCAATCTCACTCTATCAGGGAAACTCGAAGGACTTCATAAAAATGCAATCTGTTGTGCACAAAACACTTCTAGGAAAGATAAGATTCAAGAATGCTGCCTCCTTTTTGCAAGTGTGGAAAACCAAGGCTCGAAATTCCACAGAGAGCCAGTACCTCTCAAGAAGCAATCCATACAATAGGAGCTACAGAATCATGACTCTCGGCTACAGTGTCCTCATGAACATTTTTCTACTTAAGGGATTTTTGAAGAAGTTTGCTCATAAAAAATAAATTTCTGAGGACACTGCAGCCGAGAGTCATGATTCTGTTGTAATGTTCTTTCTTCAGAGTCAATGATGGTTGCTGTTTAATATAGTTATCCTTTAATATCTTTAAATAAACACCTTTCAAAGTTTTCTTGGACTTATATAATTAAGGAGAGATGGGATTAAATTTTAGCAAGTGCCTTTTCAGCATATATTATTTTATAGCATTTTTATTGGGTCTATTGATTTTAATTTTATCTCTTTATACGTAGTTCTGTGTGCCATAATTTAAAATAAATGCATAAACGTGAAATATATATTTATTTTCTTTTTCTTATTTACTTGGACCTTCCTTCTTTCTCGAACCCACATCAGCCCTTCGTTGATACATAAAGTCACCCGGTTAACAATCTAGTACGTGTTCTTCCATATTTCTCTTTGAATTCTGCATATTCTGTTCAAATCTAGTAACATCATCATCATCATAATAGCCAATATTTCTCAGGTACTTTCTATGTACCAGGTATTTTATATGTATTAACTCATTTAATCTTCACAAAAAATCCTATAAAACAGACATGATCATCACACCAATTTTCAAAGAAGGAAATCAAAGTCAAAAGAAGTGACATCATTCACAGCTATTCAATGAGTACATATACCAAATACAGGAATTTGTCTATTTTCCTCTGTTTTGCTTTTGGGTTTTTGTTTTGTTTTCATTTTTTTTTTAAGCAAAATGGGATCTTCTTACAGTATATACTTTTGTGCACCTTGCTTTTTACCACCCAATAATACTTTGTGGAAATCATGTGGACTAGCTCTAATTCGTTCTCTTTGAAGGTGGTGTAATGCCCTACAGTGTGGGTGTACCAACATATACTCAGCTCTTCCCTCTGATGGGCATTAACTTGGCTCTACTCTTTCATCCTCTGAACCAGGAGGCAATGAACATTTTTGTACATATGTCCTTTTACTTCTTTCGCTTGTGCTTTTAGTTCTGCTGGGATGGATTCCCAGGAGTGGCATAACTGGCTCAAAAGATATATATCTTTTTAAACTTTAATAGATATTGCTAGATTGCTTTCCAAAATGGCTGTAACACTTTACATTTCCATACTGCCAGCAATAGTTTTCTTATTAGAAGACTCTCCTTGTGGTTTCAGGATAAACTCTCTTTGGTTACTGGGTGATTCTTTTAATGTACTGTTGAATTTGGTTTGCTAGAGTTTCATTTGGGATTCTGCATACCTACTCATAAATGACCCAAGTCCATCGCTTTCTTTTTGGTTCTATTTTAAAATCGAGGTTTCTGCTGGTTTCAAAAAATGAATGGAGTCCTTTTCTGTTCACTTATTCACTCACTCACCCATTTATTCACCCCTCAGTGAACATGTATTGGGGACTTGTCTATGGCAGGCACTGTAAAAGTACTAGTGATGTAAAGAATAATAATGCCGGCCCTCAAGTTCACCTCTAGTGACTGACTCAACCATAAAATGGATAACCAAGGAATGGATATAGCCAGTAAACTGAGATATGCACAGAGCGTTATGAGAGATTCGAACACTGGAAGGTTAATGGATCTGAGGATGGCCCTACCCATCTTATCTAAACAGTTGATACTTTCCATCCACATAATTTGTGGGAACTGCCTCTGCCCTCCTATTCTTCAACCATTCCAACCTTGGACCCCAAACTCTCCCCAGGCCTGGGATCTTTATGCATTATTACTGCAGAAGGCATGGGTAATATCAGTACGGCAATGCCAACCAATATTACCCCAAAGGATATAAAGTGCATGAATAGCAATTTTACTAAATTTACCCAAAAAAAAACTATTTCTAGCCTAAGAATTATCCGATCCTTAAAAGTTGGAAGAAATTCAACTCTATAATCATTAGGCTCTCAGTGACAATGTTGGAGCTAATTTTCTCTCAGCTTTTTCGGTGGCATCCATAGTTATTAATCTTGCTACCTTTTCCACTTCTTGAGTTAAACCTTGATATACATACACATTTTTGAGATAATTCTCTATTTCAACCATTTTTTTAAATTTATGCGACAAGACTTGTACAAATATTTTTATGTTTTTACTGTTTTATTATTTGCTGTCACCACTTTGTGTGGAAAGAAAATGGCCCGAGGTAAGAATATATACAGATCCAGCAGTGGGTAGCTTGGAAGGGTGTTTGGGGCCTGAAAGGAAGAAAATTAGAAAATCTGAGACAAGGAGGTCTGGGGAAGAGGCAAATGTCTAGGTCTGAAATGAAGAGAAATCCCCTTCCTTCTACACCATTTCTTTGATCTATATCTTTAGATTCCTTAAAAATGAGTAGCAGGTGGCACCACCACAAGTAACTAAAATGGAATAAATGTGAAACCTGAATAAGGTATCCATGACTGGCCCTGCTATTTGCTTGGTTATTTTTAAAGAAAGACACTGTCTCATCCTAAAATTTAACCTTTCTATGAACATGATCACCCTCTTGGGGTCAGTGAAATGAATAACTGAAGATACTTCGAACAGCATGATCAGCATTCAGAATGTCAAGCAGCACATCAGAGAAAAGAAAAAAAAAAATTCCTTCTTCAAATCACTCCGAGAGTTGTTATAACAAGCATACTCCTTTGCACAGACAGAATGATGCTCCAGAGAAAGGATGCAGCCAAGGTCATTTCTTTTGGGCCATCAACTAGCAGGGTCCAGCTCTCTGCAAGAACAGCGCACAGAATCACGGTCTTGCTTCTGCATTCTTGAAGCCCATTGTCATACCAAGAAGAGCAAAGGCATTTCAGTTCAATGGCAACGAAAACAAAGTATTGAAATTAAGGGAGAAGACAATTCACAAAGCTGTTTAGTGCTGTGCTGGGAACCAATTTTTTTTTTATAGAAATCATTCAAAGCAATGTCACACAGAAGTTCCAGGCTTGAAAATTCATAAAACGTGTGGGGTGTTAAGTAGCAGCAAAACCTTTCGTCAGCAAAACGGCCCTACCCCCACACCCATTAAAAATGGTTTATCAGAGAATGGGGGATGCCAGCTGTGGGGCTGGAGCTTAATTAGCTGATTACACTTTAGATACCTCAAACCAACTCGTGAGATAAATCACACCCAAATACAGAAAGTTTTATCACAGCCAGAGAGTTGGAGCTCCAAGCTTCGGAGGAGCCCAGAAACCGCTTACGGTGCACTATCAGGGTGCAGCCCCAGTTTATAACCTACTCCTGCCTTTTCTTTTCCTCTTAAAACAACCTGCCAATAGAAATAAGACTGAGATAAAAATCAATAACGCATGCTGGAAAGCTGCAGCGTAGTCAAAACATCATAGAGACGGAGACGGGGTAAGGAAGTAGGTCACTGAATTTGGAACCCTTCAACTTGCATTTGATGAAATATCAGTGCAATAAGCTCCTCAAATAAGCTTTTCTGACTCAGTGTCAATGGTTTGAATGCTGACGATGCCTTTACCCTCATAAAGACGCTGAAAAAGTCACTCTTTGAAAAAAAGAACCTATGTGCCCAGCCGTGTGAAATTTTAAGCCTTATTTTTCTTGCTTTCTTATCTTACCCTCTCTCTTAAATGTATAGCAGCAAAGCTATGTTTCTGTTTTGTTGTTGTTGTTTTATTGATCTCAGAGAGAGGAAGGGAGAGGGAGAGAGAGATAGAAACATCCATGAGAAAGAAACATCGTTCGGGTGCCTCCTGCACGCCCCCTACTGGGGATCAAGCCCAAAACCTGGGCGTGTGCCCTGACTGGGAATCGAACCATCAACTTCTTGGTGCGGGGAACTACGCTCAAACAACTGAGCCACACCAGCCGGGCTTTGTTTCTGTTTTTTTAATAACATATTACATTATATTATATAATGAGGGATATAATGATATCTACCTCAGAGGGCCGTTATGAGGATTTGAGTGAGAAAATGCATATTTGTGCAACCAGACAGGTACCTAGAATATCATAATTTAATCATTTAATAAATGCTAATAGATTATCATGGTGGGTTAACATTATGTCCTTTTGTATTATCATTATACTTAACAAATCAGTTTGATTTTTCTATGGATCAAATTCTGTTCTTCAGGAAAATAGTGATCCATAATACACATTTTTCATTACAACACAAAAAGCTTATAATTTGTGTATGTGCCATTGAAGCTCCTCTCCAGGGTTCTAGCTTATTAAAGATGCTCTGTATAAAACTTCGGGTAAATGTCAAAGAAATAGGAGCTGCGTTTCGTTATGAAGTACCTATCCAGTGAACAATATTTCTTTGATCTTTTGCTTTCCTCACTTGCTGCTAAGCCCTTGAGAGCACATTACTATTCATTCCTTAGAACCTCTGTCTAGAAGAGCTTTGCTTGACACTCTTACAGGCAAATAAGCAGCGAGCTAAGAAACTTGTAAGCAGGGATTCATCGTGAAAGACTGCTTTTTTGGCATATAAAATGTCTGGGAGGCAAAGGCCAGAAGGTTAACATGTAGAATGCAAAAGGAGGGCTCCTAAAGTAAGCCAAGGGCATGGTGTCCAAAATGCTCCTTGGATTTAATAATTAACTGGAAATGGTTTTACCAAGAATTTGTAACAGTTCAAAAAAGAGTAAATATGGTGGACCACGACTTCAAATGCCATACCCGGTGCCTCCCAATTCATCGGAATAGTAAAATCTAGAGTGTAGCAGAGGAGGCACCATAAGGATAAAAAGTGCTGAGACACGGTAGTGGTTTCTTTTATGGTTCCGCAAATGAAACAATGCGTAAGATAAAGTCCTTGCCCCCAAGAGCTCACTGTAAAGTAGGAAAAACAAATATGTAAATAAATAAGTATACTAGAAGATGCTAAGTGCCATTCTGGAGGCATAAACAAAGCCATAAAGTAGAAAGTGACTAGCTCTGCCTAGGGAGTCAGAGCAGGCTTGACCCCGGAGATGAACATTTGAGCTGGGTATTGAAGGATGAATAGGAGTTTTCCATGCAGAGAAGGGGAAGGATTTTCTAGGGAGAACAAAGAGCTTGGACTCTGTCTTTTAAGTCACAGCATACCAATTTTTATGTCATGCACAGGTGAAAAGTATATACAAAAATACTGTTTCACTCTACCCACCGGATGGCCAGATGAGGTGGGACCTGGGTAGCTATCATCCCCGGGTTAGTCCCTTCCAGTCCTGAACAGTCTCACCCTCCTATTCCCACATGCCATAGACATGTTATTTTCTATGTGTGCTCTGATGCAAAAACTGTTAGGAAGCACTGCCCCAGGCGGCTGAGAGGTAACAAAGTTGGTAAGGCCAGGAGTAATAACAGACCACATTGGAATTTTTAACAGCTCTGACAGTGTGATGGCAGTCAGGAACTGACAGAGAATGATCATCAGGAAGGGGAAGTAGGAGGCTGCAACAGATCATATGTTCAGGTACATTCAGTGTCACACCACCTCGGCCCCTCTTTTAGGAGGGTCGTATTCCTGCCCAGGGCATAGGATCAGGCTTGCTTTGGCCAATGGAATCTGAGTGCGCAGGCCCTGTGCCCTTCCTTTGCCAGCAGAAGCTCTGAGAGCGCCATGAGGGTCCACTGTTCCACTGTTTTCCCTCTGAAGAGACCAGCGTAGCCCAACAAAGTCAGCCTGGAGTACAGAGAACATGAAGCAGGGCTGCTGCTGACCCTAAAGGCCATCAGTGTGAGCAAACACAGATCTTTGTTGCTATAAACTGCTGAGATTTGAAGGTTATTTGTTACAGCTTTAGCTGATACAGAGGCTAATGGGCTGGCCCAAGCCAGAGAATAGGAACGCCTAAACTGATGACTCGTCCTCAGAGTCAGTAAATCAACCAAGGGAGCTTCTAAGACGATTAAGACAGAAGAGAAATATATTGAATTCCAATGGCTCCCAATCAGGGGTATGAGATTCACTTGGGGTTGGACGGATCCTACACACTTGTGCTTCTCTAAACTTACATTCTGCAAATATCTGCTCAGCATTCATTTGGCCTAAATGGAAAGAAGCTATAAAGCTTGTTTCCTACTTTCTTTATGTTTATAATTCAAATGTTGGCTGTCCCCCTTGTCATCTTTGAGATTCCACTAGAAAACAAAGCAAAAACAAACAAAAACTTAAACATGCAAGAGCATCAGTAAATACTGCAGAATCTACTGCAGATTTCATTGCGATGGAAGACAGGGCTGTGCAATCATAGCAGACAACACTTTGTTTGGGGGGTATAATCTCATTAAATGAGTCTTTTCTCCCGAACTCTCTTCTCAGCCTCATAGCCAAAAAGAAATTTCTTCATTCCCTACCCCATTCCCCCTCTTGAAACCACTGCTCATTGCCATTTGTGAATGCCCCAGAACAATAGTAGTTTAACCAGTCATGCTAAAGGCAGGCAATGTGCTAAGACGACTGGTTGAAGTAACATCCAAATCCTTGAAGTCATGCTTAAAGGTACTGCCTAAGTCTTCTCCCTCGTAAGCAGTTTACGAGAAGTAGAGCCTGAAACTCAGCTACACAATGGGAGGGTTTCCATCACTGGTGAAGTTTTAGGTTCACAATAATTTTAAAATGAAAATGCTCTTTGAATGTGTCACACACTTAGCTCATGCCAGTTTTCACTCATCTCTTAATTTAAGGTCATTTAATTAGATGCTTTTCTCAGTAGGGCAGCAGGGAAGATGGAAAGCCCAGAAATTAGGAAAGGAGCCCGGAAAGGGGCAACTGAGATCACCCATTTCACTGTTTGACCCCAGATCAGCTCTTACACAGTCAGCACCATTCCTCTTGAATCATGATGCAAACCACAAGCTGAAATCTGAATAAATTGTCTTTGCAACAGTGTGACCATCAGAAATGTGACAATTAGAAAGAATGTGCGGGTGCTCTCTCCACCCATCGAGGAGGGGCTCACCTTTTGGGTGAGGTCACTGGCTTCATTGATGTACCGATCTCTCTCCTTTTCCAGTTGAAAGATGATCTTTCTCTGCTTCTGAGCCTCATCTTTGTAGTTCTGGATTTCTTCCTCCAGGTTCCTCTTGGATTGTTCATGGAGCTTCACCAGGTCTACCTGTTTCTGGGTCGCGTGGATTGCCTTGAGCATGTTCTAAAAATAAGAACAACAGAACATCCCCATTTACTCACAATGTTTGGGGATTTGGGGTTAGATATGCCCCTGCCTCAACCCTAAAATAATTAGATACATTGTTTTTGAGAAGAGTAAAGACAATCACATTCTCTATAGCTTATTAAGAGCTATAGAGAATATCACTGTATATAAAATATAAATGGACTAAATATTGTATGTGTTAAAAATAAATTTAAAAATCTAAATCTAATAATATTGTTTACATGTACAAATTTATAGAATAAGGAACAGTTTCCAGGATTATGAAAAAGAAAAAAAAAAAAGATGTGATGATTTTCCTAAGGAGTGCTCTCCATGTAAAGATAGCTAATCTACTATTTCCTGAGATTCCCTAAATAGTCTACTTTAAGGAGAAGGGTAATCTATTTTGCTAACATTTGTTCAGTTCTGGGAAACCTAAAGAAATAATGAAAAGTCAGAATAAACAAATATAGGCTGTATCTACTTCAGTGAGATGAAGCTGTCTTGGCCAAAAGCCATCAGGCTGTCTGTTAGGAAGCAGCCTCCCCACTCTACACCTGGCCAATCACTTTTCCTCCCTGAAGGAAATCCTTGAGCAGGGAAGTTTATCCTATATCCTTGGAAGTATAGTAGTCAATCTCCTAAGAGTGACTGTCAATGGGAGGAATCCTCTGGAAGTGGCAAGAGGAGGAAAGGGGTGGTGGAGGGGATATCTTGCCTTGACTGAAGGCTCTCCAGGCCTCAAGCTCCCCCAACCTCTCCCTCAGCTTTGAGCCATGTTGAGCTCAAAGGCTAGAAAAAATAAGAGCCGAAAACAAAACCCAAAACCTACAACAATCCTGAAAAGATGGAGGCAAATAAGAGACTTTTTATATCACCAACCAGCTGTCCCTAGACCCAACACCTCTAAGTTAAAATTTTATTAGCAGTCAGCTGTATTTTCTAGATTAGCAAAAGCTGCAGATTATAGATATTAAATTCAGATATTTTGAATAATTTGGGCAGTTTCAGATGCCAAATAACACACCACCAATAAAAACAGAATCCACAAAACTCTCTGAAATCCCCTGCTAGTTTACATGATAATTCTCCAAAGTTCCTTTGTGCTCACAGGTGATAAAGCCATTTCAATTCACAGCCAGTGAATGCTGGGCTGCAGACAGCTGCTTAGAGGAAAACTGAGCACTATTATTTATTCTAATCTACTTTTGTTTGCCTCAGGGCTTCCTTTCCCCATACAACCTGTTATAGGCAGATATTATAGCACTAAAGAAAGACACTTATTTACCAGTGTTATCGTAACAACTCACCTTATTTAACATGTCCCTTTCTCTCAGAAGCTCATCCATTGCTTTCTTATCAAATTCGGCTTGTTTCTTTGATGCCTCCACCTCTAAATCACCAGGGAAAAGAATAATGATAAATATGGAGTCACCCTAAAAAAAAATCTGCCCAGGCCAAAGAGATACAAAAGCTGCTGTATATGTTTATCTGTAGCTATAACACTACTGTTTGTTAACTGTTACGCAATCATCATTATAACTGAGATAGGTCTTCCTGTCACTAAACAGATGGAAACTGAGGCATCGAGAGATTAAGCCACATGCCAAGGGTCTGCGGCCAAGAGGTGACAGGGCTGAGATTGGGAGCACAGATTCTGACCCCAAAAAGTTCTTACTCTTTTTAAATCTTTCTTACTATATAAGTTATTATAAACACAGAGAGAAATTAGAAATAAAAATAAGCAAAAAGTAAAAATTCAAATCAATCGCAATCTATTTAGGATTTTGACATGTCTCTTTCCAGATTTTTTCCTATGCAAATTATGTGTTTATAATTATAAATATATATGCATTCATATAGATGTGCCAAAGTAAATCATACTACACATATTGTTTTGTAACTTGCTTTTACAATTAACAAACATAAAATAAATGCCTCTCTATTTATAAATGTGCATCTACATCAGAATTTTTCATTGCTGTGTATTTCGCTATATGAAAATGTGTCATTTATTTAGCCAATCCCTTTTCTTAATATTTAAGTTGCTTCCATTTTATTTACTTATTTGTAATTATAAGCAATGACCCTGTAAAAGTTCTTGTTCATTTGTTACTCTGAAAGCAGAGGTCCTGAACCAAAGTGTTTTTTAAAAAAGACATTTCTCTCCTACTGCCAAATTTCTATCCAGAAAATTAATAGGAATTTTATTTTGCACCCAAACCACAGCTGGGTATTATTGTTCTCTTTGACCTTTGACAATGCAATCTATTATTTAAACCAGTATTTAACTTACATTTCGTTGATTAGTAGTGAAGTTGGCTGCTTTTCATGTTTAATGGCCATTTATTCGTATTTCTGTTTTTCAAATTGCCCACACGTCCCCTTTGCCCATTTTCCTTATGAATAGTTTGCCCTTTTCGTGGGTTTTTAAGAACTCGCTATGTATGATAAGGACATTAACTCTGACTGACATTATTTTGGTCAATTTGCCTTCATATATAGTCTTTGGTATATAAAAAAAATAGTTATTATTTCACTAAATCTCTCAATCTTGGCTTTATGGTTTCTCCATTTGGTGTTAACTTTTTTCCCCAAAAAGTAACTGTCACGCTTCCATTTTTTAAGTAACTGACCCATAGTGTACACTTGTATGAAACAACACCTTTATCTTAAATGAAAATCTTGGGTCTTTCTGTGGCCTTTTCAATCTTTTCCATGGACCTGTTTGCTTAGACGTCTTCACTGTACTATTTGATTACGGAGCTTTATACGACACTTCAACACCTGGTAAGGCAAATGCTCCCTCCTCACCCTTCTTTCCAAGAATTGTGTGGCCCTCGCCACATGTTTATGCTTCTGGAGGACGCAAGAACCAGTTTTCAAGTCCTAGCAATATAACTCACTGAAATATTTATGGAACATATTAAATATACAGATTAATTTAGACAGATTTATATCATTATTACATTAAGTCTTCTCATCCAGGAACTTGGTATATCTCTCCATTTTTCAAGTCTTCCTTTACACCCCTCAATAGCATTCTGTAGCACTTTTTATATATAGACCTGGCAGATACCTTGATAACTTTATTCATAGATGTTTTATTACTTTAGTTGCTATTGTGAGAGAGGGTTTTTCCATCATATATTCTAACTGACTCTTTGTACGAAAGAAAGCTATGGATGTCTATATATTTATTTTATAACCTGCCACCCTATTGAACTCCTGTTAGTGCTGGCAGTTTTTCAGCTCATTTCTTGGGTTTTTTGGTAGAAAAGAACGAATGGAGGACTTGTCCTCCTAACCATAATGTCCAATGCCACTCTTTGGTCAGGCAGATCGAAAGGAAGAGGTCCCTGAGAAGAAATAATGGTTAATGATATCTATAAAACAACAAGGAGAGAGAGTGCAACGGCCTCTGTAAACATGACTTCAGGATGAAGAATTGGGTTCAACACTAAATATGTAACTTTTTTTCAAAGCTTAGAACTACTGCAGAGAAAAACACAGAAATTTAAATATGGGAGTGTTTTGAAAGTCTTAAAGCCCATTACGAAACAAGCTCTAGGGGTTCCTACCTGTCACTGTAGACATTAGATTGTAAACCCGTGCTAGGCGGCGAGCATGCAGAGGGCAGGGACCTCCCTGCACCCAATGCCTAGCATAGTGGCTGCACATAGTAGGCACTCAACTGAATGAAAGAGTAAGTGGATAGAGAAACTGTCAAGATAAAATACTTTTTCCTGACATCTTAGAAGGAAAAACAGTTGCACTTCTCAAAGGTTTACATGACAAACGTTTCTAATCATCTTATCTGGAGATTTTGATTTTAACTAAGTGTGTGTTTTTATGCTTTTATGTATGTTACCTCATTCAGTGACTTACAACTCACAGCACCCCATCCAGGGGGGCGGGGGGCCGGGGTGAATGTAGTGTTCCTGTCTCACATATTCTGGTATAATCAGAATTTAGACCCGATCCTCTGCCTCCAAGTCCAGAGCTTTCTCTGACACACCAAATTTGACTAGTATACGCTATTTTCTATTATATTCTTTTTAGAATGAGATGGTATTATGGCGTATTCATTTAGTAAGCATGTACTATGTGCTAGGCACTTGTCCCCACATGTTTTATGTGTATTAGTTTATTTCATCCCCCAACAATTAAATATGACAGAAGTGGGATCTGAACCCGGGCAGACATGACTCCAGAGTTTGTGTCCTTAATGATTTTTCTGTCCTATACAGCCTTCCATGGCACTTAAATTTTTCCTTCACAGGCCAACAGGAGAGCTAGTAGAAGAAGTGTTTGTCATGTGGTAAAGTACTAACAGAGAAAAGAAATTAAAAGCCATTTATTTTTGTCCCATTGATCCTTGGTACGGTATTGCCTCACATATTGCTAATGGGGGACATTTGCTTTAATTTATCCCCTGTCTTTTGTGGAAAAAGAGACTAATGCTAAAGGTCATGTAGAACCCAGACTTACCAGTTTAGATGTTATTTACTCCACTGACAAATACTCTGGGCTGGATTTACAGTGTGCCAATAGAGTCTGTTGAAGAATTTTTTAAGGTATTTAAAATGATATCCCCTCCACATTGCCCATCCACCAGCTTGAACGTTGTTTTACTGATTTCATTTGGCATGGTTTGTGTTTGTACACACAGAACCTGAGTTGCCAAATGACATTAGTCACCAATGAAATGCTTACAAATGAATTTTTTTTTAAATCACAACACAATACTTTGCTTACCTCTCTCTAATCCCAAGATCTGATTTTTTAGAGTGTCCTTGTGCTGTTCCACTTCTGCCTTTTGGTCTTCGATCTGGTGCAGTTTCTTATGGATTTGCTCTCTGATTTTGTTGAGCTTCCCGATGTCAATGCGCATCTGATGAACTTCTTCCTCTTTGGCCTGTAATCAGTGAGAAAGAATTCACCAGGGGCACTCAGTGAATAAAGGGTCGGTGACTGGATGACCGTAAACTCAGAACCAATAAGAGGAAATTCTTCCTTCGTTAGTGTGAAGTTGTTTTACCAGGTTAAATCAAAACACACACTCTTCGGTTTTGAGGAATATTGAAAAACTCTATTCTCTGAATAAAATATGTGGCTATATAGGCTAAAAATAATGAAAAGAATGATTAAACCTGATGTCTCAAGGCGCCACTAAATGCTGAACTATGTGTATAATAAATGCGTGAATTTTGTGTACTGATGCTATATTCAATTAGCAGTTTTCACAGACTCACAAAGCGGTCTCTCTTGGAAGGTTATTAACATGCCATAAAGTATTTGAATACATGTTTGTACCCACATGGCCACTGTGGTGCAATTATATATATGAGGGTGGGGGGTCCTCCTTCCCCAGAGGATGTTAGCCTTTGGGTGTATATACAGGCACGTCGAAAGGACATTAATAGGTAAGTCTACATAGTACCAAAGGTATCAAAATAATACTTCTAGCAAATGAAAGCACCAGATTTTTGTCTCTAAGGGTTCAAGTTTTATGAATTTTTAAAAATTCAAATTAAATCCATTTTTCAAAATTGTGCCATACTTAAAAATTACTGGAAAAGCAACCAATGACACTTATGCAGATAAAGATTAAAAATTACCTGCAGCCCTTGACAATGAAGAAACTGAACTTAGCTGGGCATGTTACCCTCAGATTATTGGTAGAAGCAGAATCCCTCCGGTTCGGGATCTTATAACAAAAATCTGTCATCTTTCAAGGTGCCCCATTCGTGTTATCAAAAGAGAGAATTAATGGCGTAAGTACTTTTACTTTCACTTCACCTTAGGGGCTAATATATTATTTTGCCTTAAGTAGTCATTTCATTTCTGCTTCAACTTACAGCATTCTCATAGAGAACGGCTTTGAGTCAAACCCATCTGGACTGCTTTAAATGTTCCTCAGCCTCAACTCCTACAGGGTCCAAATTAATTGACCTAAATTCAACTTTCAGTCACAACAAAAGATATTTTAATTCAATAATTATTCATCCAGGCCCCATGGTTAGACTTCAGAAAAATCCTGGAGACCTCTGAGACTGCTTGCAAAACAAGATACAAGATGTGCAATATGTGTGTATGTGTGTGTGTGTACGCGCACGAACACGTGCGTGTGTTCATACACTTTTATTAGATTATCAAAAGGGCCTGTGATGCAAAAACTGTATAATTCACTACTCGAACCTAAGTATTATTCTTGATTGGTCACTCATTTTATACCCAGTATTTAATATAATCAGAGTAGGGTTTACAGATTTTTCAGAATTAATGATAAACATAAAGCATATAGGCATAAAATAGGTACCCAAGTATGAAACTGTTGTCCAAACTTAACTTGCAAGCACTCTTTGAGGAGAAGGGGAGAGAGAATAGGAGGCCTGTCTTAAAAGTTATGTTGGACAGAGTGAAAATCATGCTTCTACAATCCTACAAGTCAATACCCAATAGAACCAGTCGATCCCCCGACATTGCCCATTCCACCTTCTCCATACAAGTAATAAAATGTAACCTGACTTCTTTGCTATTCACTTGTGTAAACGGTTTCTAGCTCTGGGCAACCAGTGACTTGCAAGGCTGCGTTACAGAGATGAACATCTGAGCTCGCTTTGGAAAGCATTTGCATAATCATATGATCAATAATCAGGTTTGCAACTTTATCTATAAGAATGGAAGTTATCACATTGTCTGCTTCCAGGCATAAAGCAATCACAGTAGGCTTGTGCCTGTCTTATGTGTCAAGGCTAATTCAGATTATAAGTCCAAGGGCTCTGATCACACAGCAAACCTATATTAATAGGAAATGAGGGAGGGAGTGCTGGGCAACAGATATGTCACTTGACAGTTACTTTGAGCTCCAGTGCCTTCTGCTGGTTTTCCTGGGATAGCTGCTCGCAAACCAAACTGTGCTGTTCGTTCTCTTGCTGAAGTTTAGAATTTCTCATCTGAAACTGCTCCAGTTCCTTTGCAGCTCTCTCATTCAATATCTGAAAGAGGCAGAACGAGCTGGTTAATGCTTTTTAATCTGATTACAGTGTCCGTGGATCCACACAGGAAGCCCCGCAGACCTCCTGGGATGATCACAGCGGCCCCACTTTTTTTGTCTTTGTAGAAATGGTTCTTCATCCCCAGTGAAAGCACTAATGCACAAATATGATGAATGTTAAGTGGCTGAGGAAAATGACGCCGTATAATGAATACACAGAGAGGATCGCTTTTTTTCTGAGAGCCTTGGGAAGTCTTGTTCACAGGTGGTGGATAAATATTTTAATACCTGTTTGCCATTTGGCAGGCTTCGCATACGCAACAATTGCTATAATCATTTCAAATGAGCTAGAGATTCAAATGAGTTTTATCTGCTGTGAGGCTCAGAAGCTACATCTTCAGAAGCAAATCCTGCATTAACGTGCCTACCACCTTTTCCGGAACGAACCATTCAGTAACCAACACAGAGACAGTTCCCCTTTAATCCAACTTAAGTCAAAGCCGTGGAACAGCAGTGGAATCATTACTATCTGCCTGAATTCAGCATCAGCCAGCCTTTCTTCCTACCTTCCTTGACTGTAGGTTTTAAAGAAATAGAGGATTCGATTTTAGGGGGCCATTTCTATTGGGAGAAAATTGGGGATGTGGAAGGGTATCAGATGGGCTGAAAGAAAAAAAAGCAGACAGACACAAATACAACTGACCGTTGAACAACCTAAGGGTTAGGGGTGCCCTCCCCACACAGTCAAAACTCTGAGTATAACTTTTGACTCCCCAAAACTTAACTACAGTTGTCCCTCAGTATCCACAGGGGATTGGTTTTAGGAACCCCTAGGATGCCAACATCCATGGATGCTCAAGTTCCATATATAAAATGACACCGAGCAGTGCATACAACCAGCCCTTCCCAACTGTGGATTCCCAACTGCAGATTCCTAACTCTGGATCAAAAACGCTATTTGTGATCCATGGTTTGTTGAATCTGCATATGTGAAACCAGCAGATAAGGAGGGCCAGCTGTATATTTATTGAAAAAAAATCTGCATCTAAGTGGACCCATGCACTTCAAGCCCATGTGGTTCATGAGCCAGTATAACTTTCATGTAAGTAAGAGTTAAACATGAAAAGAATCCATCCAATTTCCCATCACTGGGACTAAATAAAATATAGCTGGCTACCCTAAAAATGAAATTGTTTTACGTGAGCCCTGGATATTGCTAAACAAAGCACTATAGTTTTATGATGTCCCAAATTCTCTCAGATTTCATGCTCAAACAAGTCTCATATTTTTCTCGAGGATACTAGACACTGTGTATTATCTATTTTATTTCTGGCTGTATATAAAATAAATAAAGCAACTGACAAAGAAATGTGTTCTAATATCTATTTTTTAAATAGAAAAATGCTATATGGCTTGACAATTCTTTGGAAACTTCCTCAGCGAAAACATTTTCAAGAAATGACTTTTTTTCAATTACATGAATTGCTTCTTTAAGAAATGAGAAATGGCAGACTAGAATTATTACTAAGTTACCTTAAATCGCTATTACAGGGGAAATGTTAAAAAAAAAAAAAAAAAAAAAAAGTACCTTATTTAAAGTGCATAAAGACTGAGTAGGGTTCCCTAACCTTGAAACTTAAAAATAAACCTGTTAAAAATAAATCCTGTTATATTCGCACAATGGAATACTATACAGCTATGAGAGTGAATCTCTGTGAGCTCTGTCCAATAGGACTTTCTGCCATGACGTAGATATTCTCTATCGTGCTATACAATATGGTATCTACTAGTCACATCTGGTTATTGAGCACCTTAAATGGTACTAGTGCAACCCCAGGATCTGAATTTTTAATTTTACTTCATTTTAAATAACGAACTTAAGTAGCCACATGTGGCTAGTGGCTACGGCATTGGACAGTGCAGTTCTACGACTACGTGGCAACGACATGAATGAATCTCACAGACAGAATATGAAGCCGAGGAAGATAAATGGGAAAGAGTACATCCTGCACGATTCCACTTCTGTAAAGCACAAAGACAAGCAAAACTAACCTTTGCTTAGAATCCAGAATAGAGGTGACCTCTGGGGGAGAATATGCCTGGGAGGGGGCACAAGTGGGCATGTAGGGTGCTGTTTCTTGGGCTGAGAGCTAGTGACCAAGTGGAGAAAATTCATCGAGCTGAACGCTTGTGACTTATATAGACACTTTCCTATGTGTATTATACATTAATGAAAGGTTGCCCTGGTCGCTATGGCTCAGTTCGTCGAGTGTCATCCCGTGCACCAAAAGGTTGTGGGTTTGATTCCCAGTTAAGGCACGTCCCCAGGTTGTGGTTCGATCCCAGCTCGGGTTGCAAACGGGAAGCAACCGATTGATGTTTCTCTCTCACATCGATGTTTCTCTCTCTCTCTCTCCCTCAAAAAAAAAAAAAAAAAATCAATAAAAATATTTTTTAAACAATTAAAGATTAAAAATAAATTAACCTGTTGAAGCTTAAAAAAAAAAAAAAAAAAAAAAAGGGCACCTATCTGCCTATAAGAGCTACTCAAAGTGCTAAGTGTCTTGTTACCAACAGCTACAGTGAAGGGAGTTTGCTGCTTTCCAAAGAAAATGCAAAATGCCCCAATGGACAACGAACCATGAGCAAAGGCGCTGTCCCTGTTTTCGCGAGGACCCCTGGGGCAGCTCGCACCCACGCACCTTCTGCTCCTTCAGCTGCTGCTCCAGCCTCTGAAGCTCCTCCTTGCTCTTCTGCACGTACTGCTGCAGGGCCTTGATTTCCGTCTGCCTGGTGTCCATGTCCACCTGAATCTGCTTGAGCTCCTTCTCTATTTTTTCCTTCTTCCGAGACTCCCTCAGAGCTTCATTCTGGCGTTGCTGGATTTCTTGTTGGAACTACGGGCACAGAAAGGGCAGGGAGGAAAGAGCTGAACCTCTCCCCCAGGACAGGGCTCAGCCCACCGAGCTTCTCCCTCTCTCAGGTCCTTCATTTTCAGGGTAGTCGCTTTGTAGCAGCATTTCCCCTGCAGGGCAGTCATCTTCGAACCCCAATGTAAAAGCTTTTCAAGAATATTCTGTTTTGTTTTTCAGAGCCTTGACACTAAACGTCCACCTTGATGGTGGAAACAAATCCACAAAGAAGGTATAAAATCCAATTAAATAGGGAGCCCGGAATCTAGCGAAGTTAAACATGGAAGGAATTCATCCAATTCTCCATCAGTGGGAACTAAATAAATTTAGCCAACTACCCTAAATATGAAATCATTTTTTATGCAAGTCCTAGATATTGCTAAAGAAAGAACTATAGTTTTATCATGATGCCCAAATTCTAAGAAAGGCCTTTCTCTTATCTCATGTTTTTCTCCTAGAGACAGATTTGTGCATGACCTATTTGACTTCTGGCTTAATATAAAAGTATTCAGAAGAGTCCAGCTAGATGGCGTCTTACCATGGAAAAAAGTCAAGGGAACTACTTTCACCATCCCCCGATGCAGGGCACCCTAGCCTTCACAGGGGCACCTCCTTGGGCCAGAGTTGTAAGCAGTGCCCTGCCTTCGTGACTTCTCAGACAGAGAATGCTGAGAAGAGTGGCTCCAGTAGAATTGCTCTTGCAAGAACCAACCAGAGAAACAAGCAAAACAGTGGATGCCTCCTTTGGGCAGCGGGGATAAATCTGAGAGAAGGAGACTGGGGAAGGACAGAACATCCTTCTGGGAGGCAATGCTCCCTCCTCGGCAGAGCTGACCTGACTGATGGCGTGCTCTGCCTCGTCTCTGTTTCGCTCCGTTTCCTGCTGCTGTTCAGTGGTCTGAGCTAAGGACTCCCGTAATTTCACCACTTCTGACAAGAGCTGGTCTCGCTCCTTTGTCACTTCTTCTTTGAACTTCAGTAAATCCCGGATACTAAAAATGAAGAACACAGGAGTCACACTAAATAGCCATCTGCTCATGAGGCCTTCTTATCACCCTCTGAGCTCACTTTCATGGGGAAGGCTCCAGATCAAGGATGAACACTATTCAGATGTAAAAGATCTTTACGCCCAAGTGGGAGCTGTTTATGAGCTGCTAACTGAAAAAGAAGTGCCAATAATAGCATACATAAGGGTGTCCCTTACTGATAGCTCAATTTTGAAAATGAAGTGTATTTTAATAAACACTGCCTTTATAATTATTTAAAGTGCGTGTATACATTTTTTGGGATAATCTATATTTAAGAAATCACAGTGTCATGTGTCTGGAGGGAGGGGATTATAGAGACTTTTTATGTAAGTCCAGAAAAACATATACCAACTGGTAACTTATCTCTTAAAAGTGGCATTTAGGGTGGAAGAGTTGAGGGGATGATCTATACTTCTTAGTATTATTTTGAATTTGGTATATAATAAGACTATAATTGCTATTGTCAAGTCTTGTCATTAACCCTAAGGAGATGTGAATTTAGGAAACTATTTAATATATCCCCTGGAAGGCTATGGTCATAGCTATAAAGTCTAAAATGAAGCATAACATATGCAAATAATACACACTGCCATTTCTCTATCCACTCACCCAGAGAGTATAGTTTCTCCCAAAGAAATGCAACCCATATCAAATGTTTCCAACAACAAAATTTGGAAAATCATTCATGATGCCAGTATTTAGAGAGTATGTGATAATATTTGTTGATTTGGATTGTAAACCAGTTACTTCCACATTTCAAAAACCATTACATATAATTTGTCATGACTTTCTGCAGAATTAGCATTTTGCAAGTAGAAAAACTGTCTGATATGACTTGTGCAGCAAAATTAGACTCAAGCAAAGCAGCTACTTTAGAGCTGAGAAAGCAGAGGCCCTGCAGCTGACAGTCATCAAAGGCCTGTTCGAAACACAATAATTTGATGATGTTTATTTACCAATAGTTTTCATATAACATAAAGGAGCCTTCAAAACCGCACTGAAACTCTCCTCCAGAAACAAAACCTCAAATCCTAAGGTTACTATGAAGAGAGAAACTATACCTGAGAGCACTATTGAAGGTAAAATTCTGGGCTAGACAGTTCCTTCAGTTTTCCTCCTCAACCATGTGCCAGTTCTCACTAAAATGCCTCCTCACTTAATCAGTTCCCTTGCATTGCTCTTCGGTAGCTGCTCTGGTTATGCTCGACTTCTTTAATAATAGAGTCCATTGCGATGGACACCACACCTGCTGTTTGTTTATCTATCCCTTACCCTTAGGACTATCATCTAACACTGGATAAATTCATCTAGAAAGCACAGGAAGTCTAGATGGCAGTTAGATTTGATTAAAGATGCCTAAGAAAGTGTATGCTCATTCCCAATTAACACAAGGTTTTGCACGGCCTGCAAAGTGCTAGACCCCTGCCTAGAAGGTAAAGGCGCCTTTCTTCAGGGATTCACAGCCTAATGGGTACAGAAGCACCTCAACAAATAGTGTCCATACGATGTGATCAGTGCCATGCTTGAGGTAGATCATGGGTCCTATGGAAACAGAGAACACAGTGACTCTTCTGCTCGGTCACTGGGTCTGGGGGTGGGGAGGAAGTTGGAACAGAGATGCCGATGGCAATGAAGTTACGGTAGTGTTTGAGGCTGAGAAACAAGCTGGCGGCGTAGGTAACCGCTGCGCCCGCCGCCTCCCGCAGCCGCATCAAAATTACAACTGAAATACAGAACCACCGTCACTCAGATCTCCTGAAATCCGGCTGAACAGAAGCCCCACAACCAGGGAACTGAAGAAGCACCGAGACCGGGAGGAGGGGTGGAGAGGCGGGCGGATCAGGACTGAATCGCAAAGACTCGGCCGGGCCCACACCAGGTGCCGCGGGTTAAACCGGGAGGGACGTCTTGTGGTGGGGGTTTTNAAAGACTCGGCCGGGCCCACACCAGGTGCCGCGGGTTAAACCGGGAGGGACGTCTCGTGGTGGGGGTTTTCCAGAGGAGTGAGGGGTCCCAGCCCCACATTGGGCCCCCAGCCCAGGGCTCCAGGGCCGAGAAGAGGAGTCCCCACCCCTTCGGGCTGTGAAAACCAGCGGAGACTGTCACTGAGGGTCCAGGAGGCTGCGGGAGCCCCAGCAGCTCCTCCAAAGGGCCCGCACACAGACTCACTCGGAGNCTCTAAAGGGCCCGGCACGGACTCACTCGGACGCTCCCTCTGAGCCCAGCGCCGGGCAGCAGCCTGAAAGGACCTGGGACACTCGGGGAGGAACTAACCTGCCTGAAATTTGGGTGAGAGGCAGAGGGGCGGCTTCCTCCCAGGCAGAAGAGCTGGCAGAGGCCATGGCTCCTTTGGCGAGTCCTCACACACACAGCCGGCAGGCGCTATATTTGAATCGCCAGCACCTGACTCGAACCTTTGGCCCCGCCCCGTGATTCCCGGAGGCCCCGCCCCTCCCCACCTGCAGCTCANNGATTCCCGGAGCCCCCGCCCCTCCCCACCTGCAGCTCATCCAGGCCAGTTCCAGTGGCTTTTCCATGCAAGTGGCCTCTCGAGCCTCATGCTTAGGACTTTCCTAAAATCTCTCAAGCAAGCAGTAGCGGACCCCATAGGGCTTGATAAGCGGCCCCAGGCCTGGCACCAGCGGCAGCTGCATTGGCTCATAGCTGGGCCTCTCCTGGACACCGCCAAGCCCAGCACAAG